TGTATTTCTGAGAGTATAACTCTTTATGAGAGGAGAAAGCCTCCTTCTTCTCCCACAGAATAGCTGGTGGTTTTGAACTACTGACATTATAGTTTGCAGCCCAACATGTAACCTACCATGCCACAAAGGCTCCCATACACACAGAGATAACTGTAGCAACACAAATACACTTAGGTGCATGAGCACATAGAGTTGTGCACAATTTCAGCCCCCTACCCACTCTTCCAGAAGCGAATCCAATCGCTGTCCATTTCAAAACAGGAATGTTGGAGACAGAGTAAGCTGGGCTACTGAAGGGATCCCTTGAAGCAGGCAGGAAATGACACGACCATAACACTGAAGAATTTTCTTGGCTTTAATCTTTACAGCATCAAATTGCCAGATGGTTCTTCCTGGGGAAAGAAGGTGGCTGTTGGGGGTGGGGGTGGGGGTGTAGTGTCGGAACCTCCCACTTTTAGGTTAGCAGCCCATCACAAGCCATTCCCATCACCCAGGCTTCTTTTAAATATATTACTGGAAATTGTATGATAGGGCAGTCTGGAGGCAGAGAGTGTGTTTTGTAAAGACAGTCTGTGTCTCAGGTAAGCTTGGGCATTGGTGGGAAGACTGGAAAAACCCTGATCTTCAGTGATCATTTCATGAGGGTATGTATCCAGCAGGGCCACGTTATCAGAACGAACTGTTCTTGGATTGGCGCTAGAGTTAAGTGGGGGCCCAGAATCCATCTGCTTGTCCCTGGGATATGCACAACTTCCGGTTTCCTGGATTTGGGTCTTCTTTACATGCATTTTGAGCTACTAAAATCCGGAGGAAAGATCATGATTGATACTATCAATCGGTGGGATTGTCTAAGAATGAATCTACCAAGTACATTTTTGTTTCATTAAAATACCACAAAGCAATTCTGGTGGCGCCAGGCTTCAGTGCTCAGCTACTAGCCAGTCTGTTTTAAACCACAGAGCGCATGTGCGGGAGAAAAGACTGGCCGATCGACTCCATTAAAAATTATTCACCTCACTGCCATCGAGTCAATGCTGACTCATAGCGATCGCTGTGAGTTCCGGAAACTGCAACTGTTTACCGGAGTAGACCGTCCAGTCTTTCTCCTGGGGAGCTGCTGGTGGTTTTAACTGCTGGCCATGCGGTCAGTACCCCAAGCGACCACTAATCCACCTGGACTCAGCACAGAAAACCCGGTTCTACTGCGACGTGAGTCCCCGGCTTCCGCAACAACGATCCAGTCTTGCTGCTGTTGCGTGCTGTTTTCCTCATAGCAAGCAACTCTATGACAGCAGACAAAATATTGCGCTGCCATGTTTGACCCCAGCGTTGCAGCCGCTCTGACCATCCTTCCAGGCGAGCGGGAGGCGTCGTGCGCTGCCCTACACTTTCCCAAGCCACGAGGAGGGGGAAGCCACCGTGCAGAGCCTGGAAGGGAGAGGCAGAAAGGCTGCCAAGTTCACGTAGAAGGAGCAATATTTGCAAACAGATGGGGATCAGAAATGTTCATCGGTTCCCTCTTTTGGAGCATTTTCCCAGGGGAATGGTAGGACTCCAGGACACAATAAAGTATGTGAATGTACTTTGCAAAGTAATTAGCCATTTAAATCAAGATACTGTTTGTTACTAATGAGTAGAGGAGCTCTGGCGGTGGCCTTGGTAACGCACTGGGCTGCTAACCACAGGGCCAGCAGTTCGAACCCAGCAGGCGCACTGCGAAAGAAAACTGAGGCTTTACAACATCGGAAACCCTAGCTTCTACGCTGCAGCGTTTCAGGGGCGGAATGCACTAGATGCCAGGGGATTGGATTAATGAGCAAATTCCGCCATCTATTAGTTAATATTAGGTCACCCCAGATATTTAGAGTAGAAAAAGAGGAACTTCCGGTCAAGGCACAATTGTAGTGATGTACAAACTGGATTTGGGGAATTCACCCCACCCAGGACATCAATATCTTAGCAACCTGGAGTCACAACTGTAGGAATGGGAGGTGTGACAACGGATGTCATTGGCCTCTCAAAAGGTAATCGTTGAAGGATTGGCTGTGGAGACAGCCCATAGTCCCGCCCCTTGTCTCTGATTGGATGAAAGCGACCAAGCCCAGATCGCTGATTGGATGAAAGCGACCAAGCCCCGGTCGCATTCTTTCCCGGCGTAGGGGGCCTGTTGCTTGGTAACCGATTCGCTTTTGCCAGCTAAGCGGACGCTCGCTCCACCGGTGGAGTGGAGACGCTCGTCTACCCCCGCCTCACGTGTACACCGTTCACACCCACTTCTCCAGCTGCGCGGCCAGCTTGTCCGAAATGTGCCGTGCTGGCGCTGCGGTGACCAGCCGCGGCCCAGAGAGACAGTGCCAAGTTTCCCTTCGTGACACTTTCCGGGTTCTACCTATTTAGAGGAGCCCGGACAGAAAACGGCTTTTGGGTTGGACAGAAAAGAAACGCAGTCATACACCAAACTTAGAAGGCCCTTACTTTGAGGGGACACGCCACCCTGGGACTTTAGAAAGGGTGTGGGCCGGTAGCCCATCGCTTGAAACACCTGTCCCTGCCGAAAGCTGTGGAGTTGGGAGCCAAGTAGGAGACCGACTGCTGCCCCATCATGCACTGCAGAGCTCACCTCCTGCTGGAAAGGGATTACGAGGAGTTAATGGAGAACAACTATATGGTGAGTGCTGAGAACTGGAGGGAGGGGACAACGGTTTTTTGTTTTTAAGTCATTTTACCCGTGTTTAGCTCATAAAGCATACCTTCTCACTCACGCACGGCCATCTGCTTACGGGAGTAGAAAGTCCAGACTTTCTGCCACACAACCTACTTTAGTTAATTCTCATTTCGCACTGCGTCATCGGTATTTAACTAATGCATTTCCCATAATAATTGACTTCATAGTAACAGTAATCGTAATATGCCTTTCATGTGTAATTCTAGTATATTATAGTTTATTGTTTAATAATAGTATTTCATCATCTCCATTACCAGGATGGAGTACACTGTGCTGGTCAATTTATATAAACCTAGGCCTGGGATAATAGGGTTTACCAGGTAGTAAGTAACTAGTAGAGGTAGAGTTGCACTTATTAATTATAATACTGTAAACCGTATTTTAACTACCAGAACCTTAACCCTCAGAAAAGTTCAGTAAAGATTGGGCTCAGTATTTCACTTTAAGGTTTTCTGATTCTGAAACCCTTCATCTTTATTAACAACAGACAGGACGGCAGTACTCATTGACCCAAATGGTTACCAGTGTCTGAGTGCCACAGGATGACCCATCCCATGAAGTATGAAGAGCGAAAAGTGGGTTGAAGAGAAGACAGCAATCTGTAGGAGGAGGACGTAGAGTGCTCCCAACAGTTGTGTTAAGTGTGTGAAGTAGTTAGTTTATTGTGCCAACCTGGCCGAGAAACACATGTGAGGTTAATTGAAGGGCGGAGGGATAAATGGCTCGGTGAGCCTCGCCTTTCTAGTTCTCCGGTCTCTTGCTTTGAGATGGTCGCACCAGGGTGCAGCTGCCTTAGCCAGTTCCCTGCTTCAGTTTGCAAGGCCCACTTCCTTCAAGACATCCCCAAGGAGAAGCCACATGGACCTACCCCGATGCAGGCTTTACGCTGGGTGCTGGAGCAGCGTGTGGAGACCCCTGCCAGTCGGCTTTCCTCCTGCAGTCGGCATCACAGTGTGTGTTTTGTGAGATGGAGGACTTTGTGGATTGGTGTTGGACATATGGATTAATGGGTTAATGTTGGACTTGTGGACTTGGGCAGCACTGGGTTGGGATGTTTTCTTGATGCTCACTTAACCTGTATATATGACTCTCTCTTATTCATGAGTTTCTGTGGATTTGTTTCTCTAAAGTACCCAGACTAACACAGTGTGGTTCTGTGGCATTGTTTTCATCCATCTTTTCTATAAAATAGTATCTACACTGGAGGTGTTAGGTGTAGTTATTGAGTCCAACAACAAAGATCCTAGAGGCAGTGGACCCAACGCTTGGTATCACTTCTGTTATAGCTGAACACCCTGGTTCTTGGGTGAAAGAGAACTCCATGAAAGCCAAAGTGATGTAAATATAGATGCAGGTAATAGAGACATTACTGTACTCACCCAGAGTAGCACCTGGTTGCCAGTATTTCCTGATACTCCTCAGCATAATTGTAACATCTTCTATGCAATATTTTCTTGTCTCTCTCATTGGGACACATCAAATATAAGATAATCTTATTTTTATATGTAAGTATATAAGTAACTATCTTCCCAATTTGTGTGTTGATCAGTGGAAAATTTCTTGCTTCATGGCTATGAATGTTTTCATAGAGTATGCGCTGTGCTTCAGGAATAATCAAATGAACATACACTTTCCCACTATTTCCTTTTCTAATTTGAATCTTCAATTGGCTATAAACTTGTCCCCATCTTGACTTCTAGACCCACTTGGGATTTCCATGTTTATGATTTATTTTTTGTTGACTGCTGCATGGGTTTTCTGGAAGCCACCTGTCCTCTGTGCAACAAGGAAATATACAATATCTACCAAGATAAGAAAATACGCACACCCACGCTTCATGTACAGACATTGTTAGGTTCCAAAGATCTGCTCAGTCTGCAAAAACCAGCATCTGGCTACAATGGCAGTTGACCACATCAGATCACAAAATGGAAGATTGTTATATCGTTACATAATTGCCAAATTGCATCATTACATACCTGCCAAATCACTGAGAACGATGATGTAGCCAAGCTGACACATGATCTTTACTATCACAGCCATTGTTACTCTCACCTAGCACCTCGGCATCCCTTACAGTCAGAGGTATGTCGTTAATGTGCAAAATAACCAATACCAGAATTTTTACTACTGTACATGTGATATATCAGATAACAAGAAAGTTCATAAGTGAGGAGTAGGTGAAAATTAATTAGGAAAAGAATACGTAACTTAGTATCTGATTCTCAAAGTTAGAAAAATTACTTAATTGTTTCTACTTTTTTTTACATTAAAGGGTATTACTGCCTTTCCGTTAAGTGAAGACCTGATGCAATGGGAAGCTGAAATTGAAGGTCTTCACCATACAATATGGCAAGGTTTGTGGTTTTAAAACAAATGTGCTTTTAAAAGTCTTCATTGTTATAATTAGCATATCATACATATACAAATTATATATAAATTATATTTATGTATAAATTATACATGGTATTATATAAATTCTCCAGAAATTTTATTTCTATGTAAAATAACTAGAATTTGAAAAATATTCACATATTATCTACTCATTATTTGTTTATTTTTGTCATTTGTAAAGTAGATGGAAATTTGGCATTCCAATTTTTTATGTCAAATTTTAATGCTATTAAGTTATAAAGAAACAGGAATAATAAAGCTTATCAATGAGAATAGCTTCTACAATCGTCCATGAAATCAGACTAATTATTAAAATCCTATTGATTTCAAAATCATATTTTTATTTTTTTAATGATCCTCCCCTATCAAATTTGTATAAATCAAAATTTCAAATATACTGGGCCACGATATATTTGTAATCTTTCAATGATAGATTAACAAAATAGATCCCTTGAGTGAAACAGAATCCACAGACCTGTAAGGTGATAGTTATAAAAGAAAGAAAATAATACATGCTGTTGCAGAATGTAAACAGAAAACTGGTTAATTTTGCTTACATACATGAATAGAGTCAGAAGTTGTTTCCCACAGAGATGACAGTTGAGTGGATTCCTGAGGAGTTAATTTGCCAGGTTAAAGGATGGGGAGGACCTTCAGGTAAACAGCATAGCAAAGGACTTGCAGGCAAGAAAGGTTCCATAGGTTCTGGAAATGGAGAGTTCAGTTAATATGGCATGTATGGTGGGAGGCGTGTCAAGGGGACTAAGTATCAAAGGAACGGAGCCTGTGGGTGGAACAGACTGATAATGTAGTGAGATTTGCTTGTGAAGACTCTCGTATACTCACAGCTGCAGAATGGACGAGGTCGTCCTTTTAGAAGTCCACAAACCATCCTTAAACAGGACACAGTGTGGTCCAATGTCCTTACAAAATAAAACTAAGGAGGGTGGGGAGGCTGTTGGCAGAGACTTTACTAGTGTTAATCAAGGATAACATGACACTTCAGTAAAAATGTTTCTCTCTGTATCATAGGGTTATTCTTCCAAGTGTCAATACAGTTTACATCGGAATACAATTTGGTCCCTCCAGATGTGAAATTTAAAACAATTCCTTTTCATCCAAATGGTAATGCCAAATGAAAATGTTATCATCCGTGCCTCTGTTCCTATTACTCTCATTCTTTATTCATGTGTCACAGCCATATTTCTTCTGAATCTCTTTGTTATGATTTGAAATGTAAGCATGCTCATTGTGGAAAATATGAAAAGACAGATGACATTATCTGTCACCACCTCTTTTCCTGAATTATTAAACATTCTTCAGAAGGTCATTAAAAAGGGTTTTTTTGCCCCCAAAGATTATTTTTAATGATGAATGATAAATGTAACCATTTCTCTACTTTGTAATATTTGGGTCGGTTCCATTTTTTATTACTATAAAATGATGCATTGTGTGAATTAATCTTTTAGAAAAGAAGCTAGTTAAATGGTAACTTGAAGTTATATCTCAAAACTCACTGCCATCGAATTGATTCTGAGTCATCCTGACCCTATAGAATAAGGGAGAACTGCTTCTGGGGGTTTCTGAGACTGTAACCTTTTATGGGAGTAGAAAGTCTCATCTTTCTCTCAAGGAGCAGGTTGCAGTCTCAAACTGCTAACCTCTCAGTTAGCCACCCAATGAATATTTCAAATAAATAAACAATCAAAATGTTCTAAATTCTTTTTTCACAAAACCAAAAGAAATTCTGATAGGATTTTTTTTTTCACTTTATGGTGACTGAAAGAGTTTTCTGTGTATTTTTAAAAAATCATTTTATTAGGGGCTCATACAGCTCTTATCACAATCCATACACACATCAATTGTGTAAAGCGCATTTGTACATTCATTGTCCTCATCGTTCTCAAAATATTTTCTCTCCACTTAAACCCCCAGCCTTAGGTCCTCATTTCTTATGGGCTTTTGAGGGTGACAAGTAATATAAAACCAAGAAACTTCATGACATAATGATTTCATTCTTTCTTTATTGTTGTAAATATATAAATAGCACACCATTTGCCAAGTCAACATTTTTTCACTTGAACAATTCAATGAGATCAAATACATCAGTCATGTTACCACGAATTATCCTAAGCCAAAATTTTCATGTCCACAGCAAAAGTTCACTGCTTCTTAAAACAATAATTTCTCCTACTCTATCTCCCTCCTATACTTAGTAAACACTATTAAGCTCTGATTTTATTTGGTTGCCTGTCATTGGTACTTCATATTAATGAGATAATAAAATGTGCCCTTTTATTATAGATTTCTTATACTCAGCATAATATTTTCAAGGTTCATTCATATTATGACATATATTTGGATTTCATTTCTGTTCATGGCAGAGAAATATCCCACTGTATGTCTATGTCACGTTTTGTGATAATAGGTTTTTGGGTTTTCAGGGTTTTGAACTAATTGATTCTGATTCATCCCCCTGCTGACATTTTGCATTTCTACCTCAGATACACTGAGTCGGAATCTTTCTTGTGAAGATGTGGATTTTGATTCAGTGTCTCTCGGGTGCAATAATGAATTCTCAGCAGGTGTCCATCTGGAATGAACAAGTGTGAAGTCCTAGTTGTTTCACCATTTGTCTATCGTGAAGAGTGTTGCAATGATGGGTGTAGTCACTCATGCTCAAGTCTCTTGGTACCCTCCAAGGGCTGCTAGGACGTAGAATGTACTCGATGGCAGTACAAGAGGGAAGGAGTCCTTGTTCAGCTGCTGACTCTAAGGTCAGCTTCTCAAATTCATCACCCCTCCAGCCTTGGAAACCATGCACATTTCCCTCGAGTAGATGCAATCTCTGTTTCTAGACGGGAAATTTATGAATCGGGTCAGTAGGTTGGAAGTTATATTCAAATCAGGAGATATTTATGAACTTAATTGAAATGTATTCTCCATATCAATCTTCCGTACCATAAAGCTGATTTTTTAAGTTCACCTTTGGTCTCTTAACTTATATATGAACTTGAAAAGGTAGTATGGAGCATTATTTATAAGCCCACAAACTTCAACTGATAGTTATATATATATATAGTTGTAAATCATAGCATACATGGAGCCAAGTTTCCTTTTGTTGATGTTATTTACACTCCTACCAGAAGCTATATATAAAGTATTCATTTTTACACTCCAATTCTGGACATTGAAACGTTGGAGAAATGTTTCATTTGAAAAAAAAAGAAGCATGTACTTTTAAGAAGACTTAATTGTTTTCTTTTAAGTTGGTTTATTATAGTTCAAATACATGAATGAAAATTCACATATCTTAAATTTAAACTTTAGGAGGAAAAGTGTAACAGTCAAGCAGTAGTAGTATTTAGAGAGAACCAGCAAAGTAATGTATTGTCTAATCCAGACTACTGATAAAGTTCACTTAATGGTGAATAACTAGCAGTTTATTCTGGTTTCCTTCTGTGAATATATATAAGATAAATATCTTTTCCTATTTCTGTTGATTGAATTATGTTGTGTGGCATATTAACAGTGTTATCACATTTATCTCCTGAATGTTGCGAATACTCCTATTTCTTTTAGATTGTCATTAACTTTTAAATGTTGTTTGTACTTTTGGAGGATTAAAAAAATGGTTTACTCTTGTTTATTAGTCTTTCTTGTGGATTGAATTTTGATTGCCTAAAATATATGGTGTAATTACAACCCACTATGCCTGTGGTTACAATACCATTTGGGAATAGGATATCTCTCCTATGATGTGGCAGTTAGTCTTGTAGAGGTGTCTTAACTCAATCGCCTTTGAGATATCAGCGAGCAAGAAAAGTAATCATGCCAGGATAAACTGAAGGGAAGATCATGTGGCGATGATCTCTGAGGAATTTAGTGATGTTGTTGTGTTTTTCTTTGGTGCCACATCCAGATGGTTCCAACTCAGAGCAACCTTGTGTAAACAGAGCCAAGCACAGCCCCATCCTACACCCTCCTCGCCATCATGGCTAAGTTTTAGCTCACCATGGTAGGAACCACCATAGCAATCAGGTGGTAAGGGTCTTCCTCTTTTTCCCTTATACTGTCTTATTAAGCCTGATACCCTCTAGGGACTGGTTCCTCCTGATAACATCCCAAAGGACATGTGTCTACACTCATCATCCTGGTTTCTAAAAGGAATTCTGGCTGTACTCCTTCCAAGACATATTCATTCATTCTTCTAGTGGGCTATACAGATCAATATTTTTTGTCAACACCATAACTCACATTCATGGATTCCTCTGCGGTTGTCCTTTTCCACTACCCATCTTTCACATACATATGAAGTGACAGAACGTAGCATTGCTTGCCAAAGGCACCTCACTCCTCAAAGTAACACCTTTGTTTGTGTTGGGTTGGTGTTTCAAATCAGTTTTTTAAAAGCCTTTTATTTCAAATTTGCCTGATGCAATGCATTGATTTCTCGATTGCCGCTTCCATGAGTGTCAGTTGTGGGTCCAAGTCACATGAACTCATTGACAACTTCATTCTTTTTTTTTCCATTTACCATGAGTTCCTTATCAGTCCAAAGTTGTGAGGATTTTTATTTTCCTTACATTGACATGTAACCCAGACCAAAGGCTGTTAGTCTTTGGCTTCATCAGTAAGTATTCCAAGTTCTCTTTGTTTTCAGCAATCAAGGCTACGCTCTCTCTAGTGCCGCTTGTTAATGAGTCTTTCTTCAGTCTGGATGCTGTGCTGCTCTTCTTCATATTGTCCAGCTTCTCAGCGTATTTGTTCCTCATCAAGACTGAATAATATGAGAAAAAGATACAAACCTGACACACACAGTGTTCCCTTGTTTTGTGTGAACCACTCTCTCTTAATCTGGTATGTACAGGTCATACGTGAGCACAGTTAAGTATTCTGAAATTTCCACAGTTCACAATGCTATCCATAATTTTTATGATCCACATTGTTAAATTCCTCTACATAGTCAAACACAGTAAACCTCTTTCTCGCCTTCTCTCCTTACAGGCAAGCTCTATCTGGCATCAACAATGATGTCTTCCATGCCACACCCTCTTCTGAATCTGGCTTGAATTTCTGACAGTTCCCTGTTGATGTACTACTTCAACTATGTTGTCATTATCTTCAGCAAAATTTTGCCTACATATTCTTTCTCCTATGGTTTATTAATTTCCACATTCTGTTGGACTACCTTTCTTTGGAAGGGGCATGGATCTGGATCTCCTTCTGCAGTTGGCCCTGTAGCTGCCTTCCAGAATTTGTGGCCTAGGTGAAAGCGTACTTCCAGGCTTGCATTCATTTGCTGAACCATTTCCACTGGCGTTCTGTCAACTCCCGAAGCTTTGCTTTTCACCAATGCCTTCATTACAGCTTGTGCTGCTTCCTCTGTAGTAGCAGTGTTCCATCATATGTTACCTGCTGAAATGGTTGGAACGGTGACTCCTACTGGTCCAGTAACCCTGGACATTCCTTCCATCTGCTTTTGATGCTTCTTGAATCGCTCAATGTTTTTTCACACAGAATTTTTCCATATTGCAACTCAAGGCTTCAATTTTTCTTCAGTTCTCACAGTGGGAGACACAATAACATTGTTCTTCCCTTTTGGACTTTTAAACTCCGGATTTTTTCATATTCTTTTACAATACTTTTTATTATCTTCTAGAACTGCCCTTTGAAATCTTCCATTCAGCTCTTTTACTTCTTCATTTTTTTCCTTTTCACTCTAGGTACTCTACATCCAGGGACACGTTCCAGAATCACTTCAGTCAATAGTTTGGGGGACAAGCTTCCGAATCATTTTAGTCAATTGCTTTGGTTCCCCCCACCCCACCCCGTCCTATTACTTTCTTCATGTCTGAGAGTTTTGATGTCATCCCACAACTTGTCTCATCCTCAATTATTAGCGCTCAATGCATCAGATCTGTTCTTGACATGGTCTGTAAATTAAGGTGGGCTATAATCAAGGTTGTATTTTGGCTCTTGTGCACTTGTTTGAACTTTATTCAGCTTCAACTGAAAATTGCATTTGAGCAGTTGGTGATCTGTTGTGCAGTTGGTGCCTGGTCTTGTTATGACAGACGATATTGAGTTTCCATATCATCCTTCCACATAGGTACGTAGTCAAT